CTTATGATTACTTTTTGGGGTGAGAATGCCACAAAGATGCAAGAGTTTACTGGGAGGGGAAGAGAATGAGAAGACTTTAGTTAGGAGAAAGGACAATAAAAGAACAAGTTTCAGAAAGACAAAAGATTGAAATTGATGTTGCATTTACATTTTTGAAGATTTTAGGTGGTAGGGAAGCAAGAAACCACAGACCTGAAATGTGGGAAAAGAAATTGTTAGAATAGAACTTATGGTAACATCTAGCTAATCAACAGTAAAATGATGAGACCTAATTGACAATCTAGTAATACATTTAAATTCATAGAGTTGAAGTTTCAAGGAGGAGATCTCATTAGAACAACTGCCATGAAAATATTTATAGAAAAGACCATCATGGTGGTGGGAAAGTGAATGAAGTTAACATGCCAGGTCAGGACTGATAACATTACAGACCCTTCTTTGGATTTGTTGATTTAGTAACACTATAGATTTTAGCATAAGACAAAAAAAAACTTCAGTTGTGTTTTAGCACTAATGGTGGTATTCTGAAAGAGAATATTTCCAGTTTCCTCATTATAGTCATAGCATACCTGTAACATAATTACACCTTCACACAATGAACAGAAAGGACTAAAAAGGCTGAAAGAAAGGAATGACAGACATCCATTGTTCTCGAAGAGATTTTTTATGCCGTTGTGTTATACAAGAAATTATGTATAATCTGTCACTATTTGTCCCACACAGAGAAATTATAACATATTAATACAACAAGCAGTGTGAAACGGGCAAAAAGCGAGAGGGTCTTACTTGTAATATTTCCCAAAGTGAAAACGGCCAGGCCAGTGGTGTTATTGATGTTCATTCCACACCTGTCATGTGAACCTCATGCATTCATCTTACCCAAAGGGAGATAATTACCCTTTGCATCCCTACAATATCAACTTCATTTGAACACTCTATATAGGTAAATATGTATTAGAGTAGACTGGACTCCTCTTTACCTTTTGGTAGGGCAACAAATCTAAAGGAAAGACAACTTTGAATTCAAAATAGACCTGAAGAAGAATGTACTCTTTTAGGCTTACTCTGGCCTCCCACTGCAGTACATGTGGTGTTCCTATTGGGTTACAGGATTCATGATACATGGGCAAGGTTTCAGCTTTTCTTATTGCTACCCACTGACTTTACTGCTACTCCATCTGCCTTATTACTCATTTTCTGCACAAACAAACAAAATATTTTTGTTGACTGTTGTTACTGTTCAGTCTGTACTATAGACACTACTCTTGTAGCCTTGTGCCAAACTAAAACCTGTTAAACCAATTTTTGTAGCAGCAGACTTGGGACCATTATTAAGTAAAACTTACAAATTTCTAGGGCTGACCTCATGTAACTTAAAGGAAAACTAGATAAGGTGGGTCAACTATTATAAGGCAGGTAACTACTATTAACTATATAAGGTAGAGTATTACTATGAATATGGAATGGATTGATGCTACACAATCACAAAGAAAGAACAGTATCAAATACCAGAAACCACATCATTGGAGGACTTTCAACAGCAGCAACAATTAAAATGGATAGCACATGTAACTCAAAGAGAAAAATAATACTATAATCAAGATACCAACATTTCACACTACTTCAAACAAAAGTAAAGCTCTATTAATACCAGAAAGAGAAATAACAGCTACTGAATTCGAAAAACTTATTTTCCAGAAAAATTATTTTAAGAGAAAGATTTTATAAATTTCAGCCAACAGTAGTAGTTTGCTTGGTCAGTGAATATAAAATGTTTCCTTATAGGGAAATGGCTAATATTACTATTACTCTCAGAAGAATCAATGAAACCTTAAAAGAAAAATTGATTTTTTTTTAATTATTTTTTTTTTCATATTCATTTCTTTCCTTCTTTCTCCTCAACAAAAAATATTTCTCTGTCTCTTGTGTGACTCTCTTTTCCTTTCATTATTCTTTTTCAACTTGGCCCTCTTTTTCTATTTTATTTTTCCTCTTATTTCTCTATTATTTTTCCTCTTCGTGTCTTTCTTGATTTCTCTTTAAGGACTCCTTCACTTCTCTTCACTTTCTCTTTTATTTCTGTATAATCCCTCCCACTTTCTCTCTCTTTCTTTCTTTCTTTCTTTCTTTTCATCCTCTTTCTTTTTCCAATCTACCATATTTTCCTTCAATCCTTCATTTTTCACTCTCTCAATATATTCTTTTTTTTCTCCTTTTTGTTTTGTCTTTCTCCTTCCTCTCTTCTACCCACTTTGGCCTTGTCTCTTACGTCTTGAAAATAAATAAAAAATAACTCACAAATTCTTTGATCCTGATTCCTCAAAGAATTTCTTTGCAAAAACATTTTCATTCTTTTTTCTTTTCTTTTTTTTTTTTTTTTTTTTTTTTTTTAGAATTGTCATTCTTTTAGATTGCTATGAGCCATGATTCCTTTGTGTTCTAGAAAGTTCCAAAGATTTTCTTCTCTATTCAGTTGGCAGCAATTCACAGCCACCTTTAA